CAGCGAGCAGGGGGCGAAGCCTCCTAGTATTATATTAGATACACTAATGAGCTATTGGCGACAGTTTGGGATTGGTCCGAAGACAATATCCGTCACCAGAATTTAAGTTTATGAGGTCTAAAATTTATTTAAAAAAAGCTTTGAAATAACAATAAAATAGGCTATCACTTTTTTTATGGGCACAGTACTTACATCACTCATGAAATCAAATTTATTTCTCAATTTATAAAGTTAAACTACAGTTAACTATTCTTTTTTATTTTAACAAGAAATTTGTAGCTAACATCTACAGAAATTACAACTTGATTTTTCATTTTACTAATTTAATTACTGATGTAAATTAGACCACAATATACAACCTATTTAAAAATACATACAAGGTCTAATAACTATACAATTAAGTTTTTGAATACCACTTTAAAGGTTGTGGGGATAAAAAAAAAATTACTATTTTTTCGTGAACGTAGTGAATCACTGCAATCAGATTTGTCACAATTAAAATTTGAAAATTTGCCAACTATTTTCTTTAATTCTAAGGTTACGTGTATAATTCTATTTTTATGGTAGCCTCAAAGAACAACTCGCCCTTTGGTTGATTTTAATCAAGCAAAAGACGACTGCTTGGTAAAAATATATTATACAATAAAAACAAATATAAGGCACAGAATATTTATTATTGAAAACTTTACTGTCTAGCTATAACGAGAACTTCTCCCGACCGAATGACTGCTATTATGGAAACAAAAGCAGGGTACGAAGCCAAATTATTCAACAAAAAATAAGCACTCAAAAAATATTTTTAAGCACTTTAAAAATATACCATAATTAGGCAGGGTTGGAAAGATTTTGACAATTGACTGTTCTATCTTGTTTTAAAAGTCATGTCAAAAAACAAAACAAAAAAACCTTTTGGCATTGATTTTTGACAATAGTCAAAAATCATGAAATTTTGAATCATGTGAAATGAATAGAGTTTTCATACCCTACGGACTGACAATGTGCCGAAATAGATTGGGGTTGAATAGAACAATGTGAACTGTGTCTTTTTGCAGAATTCGAAGCGAAAATCAACATAGTAAAGGAAAAATCTAATTTTGAAAAAGGGAAAATTAAGCACCTTTTCAAAACACCCAATGAAAGAAACACTTTAAGGGCTCGAAAATAAGCACTTTTAAAAACGTTGCGCACTCAAAGTGAAATCACTGCTGATGGGCAAAAATTGAAAAAAAGTACTATCTTTAGATCGAAGCGAAACGAGTAACCTCACATCCTCATTCAAAATTAATAACTTAACCTTGCAACAGCCAGATTTTCTTGCAATGTTCTAACAGTACTGCAAATTTTTAATTGAGCCACCACCGGTTGCAATACAGACTCCTCATGTTGGAGATGGAGCGAATTAAGTTTGAAAACTGTCATGACCCAAAAATTAATCATTATCCCTACATCTACAGCTTGGAAAGAGCTGTCTTGTTTGGAAATTGCTCCTGGTAAAATCTTGTCTCAGCTGCGATATTACCCTTTCAGTGTTTTCATCTCAGAAAAAAAGTGGGTGAGAATTTCTCACCCTTTCTCAAAAACAGGGTGAGATTTCAAAAAGTTAGGTGAGATAATAATTCTTCATGTTTAAGCC